GAGAGAGAGACCAAGTTGTTCAGGTGACTATAGTGTCCCTTTAAGGTTATGGGAAGGAAAGGACTGGGGAGGGTGTGCAGTTCAGGGGGGGACAGCTGCTCAGGTATTCCCCTCACACAGTTTGTTACAGTGAGGTGGGTGGAACAATAAGCTGTCACCTGTCAAACTTCTCATGTGCTCCAACCTATGTAACATGTAGGGCTTTCTATCTTATATGCATAGTGCACCTACCTTTCTGGCGTGACCCTAGTGGCCGTACCTACCTCAGTGGCTGCGCCCACCTCTCTGGCGTGCCCACTCCGTGGGTGCGCCCACCTCTCTGGCGTGCCCACTCCGTGGCTGCGCCCACCTCTCTGGCGTGCCCTCTCCGTGGCGGCGCCCGCCTCTCTGGCGTGCCCTCTCCGTGGCGGCGCCCGCCTCTCTGGCGTGCCCTCTCCGTGGCGGCGCCCGCCTCTCTGGCGTGCCCTCTCCGTGGCGGCGCCCGCCTCTCTGGCGTGCCCTCTCCGTGGCGGCGCCCACCTCTCTGGCGTGCCCTCTCCGTGGCGGCGCCCAGCTCTCTGGCGTGCCCTCTCCGTGGCGGCGCCCAGCTCTCTGGCGTGCCCTCTCCGTGGCGGCGCCCACCTCTCTGATACCATGTATAGCTGCTTCATTCTGTATAGCTATGGATTGCAGATATGATTCCAATTACTAGCACTCCCTACATTTTTCCTTATTCCCCCTCCCACCCCGATGATTATGATCAGAAATGATCTGTGCTAATTATGTGTTACCGCATTTGACAAATCTAAAATATTTCACTTACAGAATATTGAATTGGAGTTTTATTCTAACATAGATTTTTGCCTAAATTTATCAAACCTCTGTTTAGCAGGTTACCCTGTGATGTGGCAGTGATCATTGAGGAGCGCTGTGTGTATGGCTTGGGGTGTCGGAAATGCAATGCTTGGTCTGTTTAAATGTTTCTTGGGAGATACACAATGTTGTTACCATTATTCACTAACAGAGCCTTTTAGAGACACACTAAGCGCCAAAACAACTGTAGCTTTGTGAAGTGGGTTCTTACATTTATTAATGTTTCCTTTGTTTCTCATATGTTATGCTGCTTATCGTTTATATTATATTTATATTGCATGTCTCATACTGCCGGGTCAATAGCCTTAGAATCTCTGTACTGCGTAACGTACCGCGTAACGTACCATAGACATCTGTAATCAGAGCCAGGACTCTACATGTCAGACGTGCTGGATTTTATAGTGGAGGCTAATGTACAAACAAAAAATTAGCCAGTGATAAAAAGGAGAACTGTAGCAATAGGAATACAATGTGTAATGTTCGAGCTGTAATTACACACAAAGTGTCTTTCAATCCTCGCCCTCTGTTTACACAAGGGGCACTTTAATCAGCAGGTATAGAATGCATAGCCATGCCCCCTGCACTGGCTGGGTATTCTGAGCTTACAATATACGAGACAAATACAAGAGGTAGAGAGAGCCCTGTCCGTAAGCTGATATCTAGCCATTGAAGCTTTTATACAGAGTGCTTAGCTAGATAGCCTGTGAGCTTACAATCTAAAGGATACCGTTGGGAATTGAGACAAAAGGTAGCAGGGGGAATTTGGAGGTGATGGTTAAGAGTTAACAGAGAGAAGCAGCTACTTGTAAGATATAAAGGGAATGAAGAGGTAATTGAGTGAGAATTTCAAACAGCTGGAGGAGCATGTTATATGGGAACCTGGGGGGAAGTGGTGAGAGGGGAAAAAATGCAGAGCAGCACAATTGCTGTTCCTGTGAGTGTGAGATGAGGCCTGAAGAACATAGATGGAGATAGAACAGTTATATGAAGGTATTTACAGCCAGGCGGAGCATGGAGGAGGGGAGCGGTAGAGTAGCAATATGTTAAAAAGTTCTATCACCCAAATTACTAATAACTGTGTACATGGAATATTGGGCAGAAACATTAAATGACCATAATAACTGCATGCACAGAAAATGACTGTGGCAAACTACAGGTATAATTGGAAACCATTACATAGTAACACATAATATAGTAGCAATGTTTATGGGGATGGTAGTGGCATCGGAGAGCTTTAAGGTCTCTGCGTATGCAGACGACATCTTGCTCACCCTCACGGAGCCGCTGGAGTCGGTTCCCCCCCTCCTTGAGTTGCTCGACACTTACCAACTAGTTTCGGGATATAAAATAAACCTAGATAAATCGGTAGGAATGCCTCTGAACATGATAGAAGCGGACGTACAAACACTAAAACAAACGACAACTCTAAAGATTTCACACCAACCCATTAAATACTTAGGCGTCAAACTCACGACGCAATACACAGACCTGTACGCAGAGAACCACCATCGTCTGCTTAAGACCCTGCTCCGAGACTTAGACAGATGTCACGAGAAGCCAATCTCGTGGACAGGGAGGCTGCATGCAGTCAAAATGAACTTGCTCCCACGCCTTCTATTTCTATTTCAGGCACTCCCTGTGAGAGTCTCTAAAACTGACCTGAAACCATTGCAGACAGCTATCGATAACTTCATATGGGCCAGGAAAAGACACAGAATAGCTAGGACTACGCTATATACACCAAAAAGCAGGGGAGGGTTGGGTCTTCCACACCTCTATCAATACTACCTTTCCGCCCAACTAGCGCAACTAGTTGAATGGCACTCGCCCCCAGACTCCCACAGATGGGTCGACCTGGAAACTCTTATCATGCGCACAGACCTCCCACAGTACTGGATTTGGATCCCCAAGGCAGATAGACCTGACCTCACCACGACATGCCCCGCCATCCTGAACTCCATGCGAATCTGGGACACCACGGCGCTCAAACATGGTCTAACACACTGGCCCTCATCACTAACCCCATATTTGCGCAATAAAGCCTTCCCACCGGGTATGAGCCCTAGAGACTTTAGGGGGCTGGAAGACACAGGGATCCAACGGTATGGGCACCTATATCACGAGGGCACCTTCCGCACATATGACAACTTTAGGACGTTAGCCACGCTCACCACAAGGGACCACTTCAGGTACCTTCAGCTTAGAGACTTCGCCAAGAGCTCTGTTGTCCGAGCGGCAGCGGGAGCTAGACCCACATTCTTTGAGACACTATGTATTTCTGAGGGACCACGTAGCGGCCTCATTACCCTCCTTTACTCGCACATGACTGCCCCGACGGGGGCCGATCAAACTCCCGCATATGTCACACAATGGGAGAGGGAACTTAATCAGACGCTAGAAAGCGGGGAATGGCAGGACATATGGGAGGCGGCGACAAAAGCTTCCATATGTGTCCTGCATCAGGAACAGTGCTACAAGACGCTCATGCGTTGGTACACTACCCCAGTCAAACTCTGCAGAATGGGGAAGTCGCCCTCCGACACATGCTGGCGTGGCTGCGGAGAAAAAGGCACATATCTACACATGTGGTGGACATGCCCTAAGGTAGTGACATACTGGGACAGGGTAGCGGCGCTACTGACGGAGGTAATGGGGAAATCGATCAAACCTAACCCCTGGACGTTTCTCATAGTGAAACCACTTGACAACTTAACCCATAGAGAACAAAAATTAGTAGATAAAATCAATTTGGCAGCCAGGAGGGCGCTCGCGCAGGCCTGGCTACAGATTGACATGCCCCTCATGGACAGAGTAATACACTACATTAAGGAGGCGTGCCTAATGGACAAGCTGACGGCACAGGTGAGGGACACCTATCCACTCTTCCTTAAGACCTGGGAGAAATGGGAGGACTATTCCAAGCGCTGATCGAGTGTTGTGGTGGTACGGACGTTCCCCCCACCCCCGGCTGTGGTAAGTGATTTCCTCTTTCTCTACCCCCCGTCTCCCCCCTACTAGCCCCCATCTACCGCCCTTTCCCACCTTGCTCGCTTTGCCCTCCCCCCCACCCCCCACTGAGGTTGGGCTGCGGTGCTTGGTTCCGGTATCTTAAAGTCAACATAATGGAGAGCGAGAGGGGAATAGTAGAAACGCAGGTGTTATCAAGAACCCAACCGTAAAGGGAGCCAGTGGGCAAGCAGGAGGGCCCCCCGTGCCCAATAGGAATATGGTACCCCCACTTACTTAGCTACGGCTACTCCTAGCGCGTGCCATAGCACGCGACACGGGGAAGCTTCTCTGAGACAAAACAGCTGCTGGCAGTATAGAACTCCAACAACGAATGGTTTGCACAATACCCCTAATTCCGGGTTACAACCTGCCCTTCTTGACATTACCCAATGTAGGCAAGTAGCGATCCGTAGAGAGAAAACCACCGGACAAGGAGACACTAACTAAACCCCTTAGATGACCAGTTCATGGTAGAAATTAGCCGCCCAGGCTACAGGCACCAGGGCTTGAGCAGACCATGCGACTGATAAATACACTGGAAACCGTCTGATAAATTGACAACCCACCCAAGCAGACACATAACTAC